ATATATAATACAAACGTTTCGACACCGATCGGGTCATTTTCAATGTAAAACAACAAACACTCTTACATAAATTATCGGAAAATTCGGTAAAAAAAAAATATGTATTATTTAGATTTTATTTTTAAAAAATAAAGATTTGTAATGAATTCAGAATATAATTTTTTATATTTCGATTTTATTTTTTAAAAGAAGTAGTACGACAATAATGTTTGAAAAATTGTATATTATGTTTGTAATTGACGCAATTTAGAGATTTGGTATATTTTTTTGAAAAAATGATATATTTGAACCAACAAAATACATTTAATGTTCTCGAAAAACAAACAATAATAATAAAATATTAATAAGTGGGCAATGAGAGCATTCTCAGCATGGTACTTCGAGCGCAATACATATAATATATTCACAATACTTATTATTGCGTATTACAAGATTCTTGGACATTTCGGTTTACTTCAAACCATCTTCAGCAATGCTATGTGATTTTCTATACAATATTCCAATTCGCAATGTTGGAAATAATCTCTGCGTTCGACAGAGGATGAGCATGTCCCTACTTCCTAGTTGAGAAATGTCGTGAAATCTTTTCGTTGTTTAATGGTTGATTAATAGAAGAGTACAATAATGAACAATAATATTAGTTGTATTAATTTTATGTAATTTCTCGCATTTTTTACTCACCCTCCACCTTCGCAGATCACAATTCAAAGCGAAATACGTCATATTACAATAAGTAGAAATTTAAAATATAATGACATTAATAAAGATACTATCCATGGAAGACCATATGGAAGTTACATACGTAATGACCGTCAACTTTATTCAAAGAGCCACGTCAGAACAGAACAATAAATAATTTATAAGTCGAGCTAATATAATGTCAATCTTTAAAAACAAATAGTCAAAAGTTAAACGCGAGCACATATGCCACTATTTAAATTTCTCTAAAATGCTCACATGAATGGTGCAGAAACTCCAGTCCTTTGTATTCGTTGGCAGTGTTTCTTCATATTATTATCATTAAAACAATTCCTAAGGCGAATAGTCATATCCAAAATAGTTTTAAACTTGTTAAGGAGCTTGATGGTAGGCGGCTGAGTGATGAATTTCAGTTATTGTCATTGGATGTTGTTAGCCTTTTCAATAACGTCCCCATCGACTATGCGATGGACTGCATCAAAGACCATTGGCGATTTATTTCTAGAGATTGTTGTTTACCTGAGGAGGAATTCATCAAAGCGGTTCAATTTGTTTTAGATTCTACTTTCTTTGTTTTCGATAGTGTTATATATAAGCAGAATTACGGTACTCCTATGGGCTCTCGGTTGTCTCCCGTCATCGCGGATCTAGTTATGCGAATGTTGTTATGTTGGTTGTTGAGAAAGTTTAGGAATTTGTGAAGTTCGTCTATGCCGTGTCTCCAAATTGCGAATGTGTCGTCTACGTACCGGAACCAGATTTGGCTATGGGTTCCCCTATTTCCCCCGTAGTAGCAAACATCTTCATGGAGCACTTTGAAGCAGAGACCCTCCGTAAGGCAAGCAACAAACCGGAAATCTGGTTCCGGTACGTAGACGACACATTCGCAATTTGGAGACACGGCAAAGA